TGCTAATGTCTCACCTCCTTTATTTTAAGGTAAACATGTTTAATTTAAAGTTCAGAGAGTATTACACAGCCATCTTCTGTTGCTTATCTTTCAAGACTGTAAAGCTCCTTTCAGAGTTACTGCTTTTCAGGATACAATCTTCCCTCCTACAAAGGATGACCCTAATTCCCTATTCTTATCCTTATGACCTTGCATTTGGCTGCACTAAAACGCATGTTTTTCAAGTGAGCCCAAGTTAACAAGCTACACAAATTGCCCTGTAAAACTGACCTAGCCTTATCCTTATTTACCACCCTACCATTCTTTAGATCACTACAGACTTTATGAGCAATAATTTTATATTTCTGGAGCTAGTGATACACAGAAACTATAAGTAGCAAACTCCCAGTCTGAAAAACCATCAGGAAAAACTTGAGAGTATTAAGACTCCAATTCTGTATTTTTTTACATTACCATATAAACTAGAAAGGCACAAAAAAGCAAAAATGTAACCGAAGTAATAGCAATGACAAAAGAATATGCTTCATATTCATTTATATGCACATTATTTTAGTCCAAAACACGTCCAAAAAAAAAACCAAAAAACCAAAGATTTAGGAATTCATTATCATCAAATATAAAAATTGGTAATGTAACAACATCATAAAACTGAGTAGGCTTTTTCCAAAATCCATTTACATTTCTTCACTACTTCTTACAGAACACATTTTTGACAGATCTCTTTTTACATACTGTATCAACCTCAGAGAAATTAGCTATTACACATTTTGTTCTACTGCAGCTCCTCATTCTTTAAAGATGCAGGATCCTGCAGTTATCACACGACTACCTTTTATATATGCAGTGAATACTTTTGACTAGGTTTATCTAGGTCCCAGTTCTGTATGTGCTTAACTTTGTGCATGTGTTGAACTCAACAGAACTACACTCCATTACTTAAAGTTATGCTTGTTCCTAAGTGCGTATAGAATCAGGATTGAGGTAAGATTGTCTCTGTGATAAAGGGCTAGTAGATGTGCACTTTAAACCTTTTACTATTGCAGAATTTTACATTCACAGAAAGCCTACTCTGTTTGCTCAGTATTTCTTGTTATTTCAATGGGACCTCTCATGGGAGTAGAATGAAGTATAAAAATTCATATATTTATAACCTAAATTGTGACATATAACTTAAAATATGTCTACAAAATGCAATTTATTTTTAAAAACAAACAATACAGTCTACATTCTAAGCAAGATACAAGCCTTTTAGTACCTTTGTTCTAATTATTTTACAACACATCTACCAAATAAGGCAATATTTTTCAAATCTTTTTCTTTGCCACTTCTTTGAAACTACTAAATGCTGAAACACCATGAAAGGTATTTCTCAACATATAATCCTTTAACTTATTTATTTTCAGAGTTACTATGATTTAATTAATTTTGTAAGTTCATACCTTTTCCTTTCAGCTTGCTCTTTCAAATAAATATATTTGGAACACATTGGTTCATCCTCCTTATTGTCCATGTCCTCTGCCGTAAATAAGATATTGTGACCTCTTCTGTCTAAAGTATGATAAACTCTAGAAACCAGTTGTAGATAAGGAGGCAATATAAAACTAGGAAAACCAACACATAGACGATGAATGCCTGGATAATGTTGACCTCTAGAAAGGAAAACAAAGAAATCAAGAATCTTAATATCCATTCTCTATATTAGTTTATCAAATACTACATCATGACATACATCAGACCATAGGATATAAATTGCTAACATAAATATTTGGCATAAAGTACCTGGTAATTTCTACTAAAAGTAGAGATCATATTATTTAGAACGGAAAAACAGGTAAAAGCTAAAATGTTGGTAGTAATTTTAAAGTAAAAAAATAAGTGCAGTAGTCACAATTTTACTTTTCCAATTTAAGGAGAGCTTTCACTTGCTGCACTGAAAACTAAAACCAAGTAATGCAGATCTACAGCTTAAACTGGGTACATGAATAAATGTTATGTTAAAATGTTACATATACATTCACCTGCAAATTCTCTTCCATGACAGAGTACCTTGTAAATACCCTTAAAACTTTCAATTAGTTTTATGATATGCTATCACTTGAACTTCTTCCTAGCTTTTCAATTCAGCTGTTGATTTTAGAGGAAACACCAGGTCTTTGACTATCTTTAACAAGTTAATAACTAAAAAATTCTGCCATTTAACCCTCCAATCTAAGTTGCACTGAAGGTGATGAAAGTCTATTGACTTCCACAGGCCATGGATCAAATTCTAAAAAACAGTCTCCGGCTACTGTATGAACTCTACAAAGTTAATAAATGTCTAACGTGCAGACAGTTACAATGTGAAAAGCAGTATATGGAAAATGTCTGAGATGTAAAAAACTCAGAAATGGCTCCCCAAATATATGCTAACTTAAATTAAAGTTCATAAGTGCCTTCATATTTTAAGAGAAAATCCCAAATGAAAATGGTTAAAATTCCACTTCGAAATTACACTGAATAGTTTTCAGGTTTAACTATTTTTCTGAGGTTTTCCTGAGAAAATGACACTTTCAACAACTTGGGTTTTTGTTTTACTGAGAACTACACCTTATGTTATAAACAGATATTATAAAGGAGAAATTTGCAAGAACTACAAAATGAAGTAAGGAAAAACACAGGATTGATTTATCATGCAATACATATTCAAGTTACAAAAATAATATTTTATATTTGCTTACGTTTTCTGAAAAACAATGACAACAAAAACATAAAAGAAAAATCACACACACAAAGAAAAAAACCCATGAAAATCAGTGTAATATAACAGAAATTTGACTCACAATCAAGAAATTATCACATCAAGTATATACCGGATATATCTCCATTACATTAATATAGTTTGAGCCCCTAAGTTTATAGGCACATGACAGCCCAACAGGAAAGAGT